CCTGTCTTGGCTTTTGATATGCCTTCCTCACTAGGTTTCATCATTTCCAGCTTTGACTTAAAGTGAGAGACATGTGACTTTTCATTTCACTTGAACACTTAGAGGTCACTGTACAGTTCTTTTTTTTCATTAAATTTAATTTTTTTTATTTCAAATTAATGTGTGGGTACAAACAACTAGGTCATATGGTTTGCATTTGTTAGGTAGGGTTCCTCTTACAGTTGTATCCTGCGCCCAAGAGATGTGCCATATACCTAGGCATTGTGCACATTAAGTCGAGTACACCAATCTACCTCCCTTCTTGCTCTTCCCACCCCAACTTGAATTGAATTGAGTTTTTCTCCTGTGTAGGCGTGTATTAGATCATCTACTGGCTTCAGGTTAGTATTGAGTACATTGGATACTTGCTTTTCTATTCTCATGATACTTTACTGTTTCAACTCCCTTAATTTCAATAGGCCATGTGTCAGGGAATAAGGAAGCCTGAAGAGGAGAGAGACGGAGGAACAGTTGGCTAGTGAAGGAGTCGGAATACCTACAGCATTTATTGGTCAAGTTTCTGTCTTATATTGGGGGGATTTGTGGTGCCTCCAAACTATGTTAATAGTGATACCAAAAATCACTGATCATAGATCACCGTAACAGATAGTATAAAAATGAAATAGTTGAAAATATTGTGACAATTACCTAAAAAAAGAGGAATGTCAGAGTAGAAAAGAGTTTCGCTATTTATAATTAAAACATCTTTTCTGCATTTTACAAAAATGTATGACCATGTTCCTACATCCATGGGCCTCTCCCACACCCTTCCAAGGGGCCTGTCCAAGTAAGGACATACCCTTTAGTTTCTTTCCCTGGACGATAAATTTCTCCTTGGAAGGAACAAGAAGAATCGCAGTTCAGAGATTGCTGTTCCTCCTTTGTTTTTATCATTTCAACATGCTTTAATTTTTGACTAGAAAAATTAACGTGCTCAGCATATCTGAATTTCCCCTTCCCGTGAAGGGATGATGTATAACAGATGTATCCATTACCTTATACTTGCTTTGTAAGGCCTCCTATTATAATAATTTATCAAAAATTACCTCCTTTTCTGTTCCTCATTTATTTATTTTACAGAGTTGGACACTGGAGTATTTTTGTTTAATGTGATTCATGAAAGTGGATGTCATGGAGGTACAAGAGGCTTGTACCCTTCAGCTAAGAATCGTGTTACCATCTAATTCACTGTGTGGTGGAAAGAGAGCTGCTGCTTTCTGGTTTTGAGCTCCTCGGCTGGTCAGTAACCATGTTGGACCAAAGCCAGTGGTTCCTATGAACCCAGAGGTTCTACAGAGGTGCCTCAAACGTGGGCAGACCCTCGTTCCTGCTTTAAGGAGAGGACCTCTGTTTTTTGCTATTCTAATTACAAGACTTTTGTCTTAAATTGGATATGCTTTGGAAGAAAAAAAAGCAAAACATTTTTTCAGGTGTTTGTCCCAAATGCTTGGTATCACTTGGGGGAGCTTTCATATAATATATCACCCTGAGCCCCAGATTCTAATGCTGGAGCTCAGAATTTGTACTGTATTTGTTTAGTTGCTTTTGGATTCTGATTTGTCTTTGGGGTCAAGTGACATTATTCCAGACC